GCGTGGATAAAAGTTTTGGAAAGTCTATAGAAATTTGCAGGAAATATTCAAAAATGAAAAAAAAATCACATTTAAAAAATATTACTTTTTTCAAAAGTGAGGACGTGACTGTTTTGGGCGGTTTGCGGGCGTTTGAGTGAGCGTAACCTAAAGTTTTTTGAAAAGTCTATAACAATTTTTAAGAAGTATTCAAAAATGAAAAAATATTACATTTTTCAAAAGTGTGGGCGTGATAATTTTGTGCGGTTTTTGGGCGTTAGAGTCGACGTGCCAAAATTTGGGGAAAAAAATTGCGTCTCTGGAATGTCTGGAATCTACATGCGTAATCTCATCTTTCTCGCTTTTATAGTTCCAGAGATCCCGACGTTCATACGGACAGACCGACATGGCCAGTTCGACTCGGTTATTGATCCTGATCAAGAATATATATACTTTATATGGTCGGAAACGCTTCTTTTCAACGAATCAAGTATACCCTTTTACTCTACGAGTAACGTGTATAACACTACGCCCATCCACCACGGTGGGCGTGGCGGTTTGGGCGGCTAGAGTAGGAGTGGCAAACCCATTTTTGGCATACTGAAAGAAATTTACAAGACTAATACAAAATTAAATAAATATAAAAACAGTTTTCAAAAGTGTTGGCGTCTCAGTGTTGGTCGGTTCGTGGGCGTTAGGGTGGGCGTGGCAACATGGGTCAGCAAACTTGCGCTGCGTCTATGTCTCTGGAATCGGAATGCTTAATCTTAACAATTATACTTCCTAAGCTCTCGACGTTAATACGGACAAACAGACAGACATGTCCTGATCAACTCGGCTATTGATCCTTATCCTGTAACATACTTTTCAACGAATCTAGTATACCCTTTTACTCTACGAGTAACGGGTATAAAAATATTTGTTATAAAATATAGTTCTTAATTCACTATTACACTTTTTTACAAACTCAACTTACTTCGTCTTCATATTTCTTGTACCGAAAGATTCGCAGATTTTGATTAGACTTCCATCAAAAAACCTTGGTTTAAGATAAATTTGATTGATTTTGCCAAAGAGATTACCAGCAAATGATACTGGCACCTAATGAAGGATAGAGCAGAGGATTATGATTTCGACTATTATTTGATTACCAGGAAAATTTAATTAGCTTTTATCGTACAGGATTGTTGTGAAGGTAAAAAAAATAGATGGAAAGGAAGCAAGGACAAAACGAATCCTTTACCGACTATGTCTTTCACACGCATAACTCACATTCGCTAAGGATGAATGCTAACGCGAACACAACGGTGTAGTCAGACCGGGGCAACATGCCGGAGGGACACAACAAGGGACACAACAAGAGACACACGCAAAATAAAAAATGTTATTACAGAGAGGAACATTGAAGGCTCAAATAAAAAGTCATGCGCACTGTGTCCCAAACTAAAGTGAACAGGGAAGAATAAATCTGTTAATTCACGTACTATCAAAGATGCTGCACATTGACAGTTTATAAAGTCGACTTCCGGAAACTTTTTATATTTCCGTAATCGATTTAAAATACTAATTTTGGATAATACCAATGAAACCTATAAGAAGGGAGTTTACAGTACCTGGCAGACCGCTATATCGCTACTTTAAAAAAAAACTTAGCTATGTTAAGCCAGGTCAGGTATTGTCTGCAGCTTGCAAAACTGCGAAAGGTAGACAAAAGTCAGTTTTGCTCTAGCCAGGCCAAAATACATGGGATATGTTGAAGGAGGATGACGCACGGACTGTTCCCAGACTGCAGCCTCTCTTCACGATTGTCTTAAAAAAATCGAATCAAAATAGCAAGGCCAGAGCCGTAGGGCCGGAAGGGACGGGAAAATACTTGAATGACATCCATCTCTTATCTCCCTTCTCCAAGGATAACCTGCGAAACCCACTGCTGCCAGCAATTTCAAGCTGTTCCAAAGAATATTCCAAGATGGGGGAGTCCAACGCCTCCGAAAACGTGGCTAACACTGTTGTGAACCACACTCTTAATTTCATCGCAATGGTGCTATTGGTCCTAGTGATCCTAAAAATAATGAAGATGTACATTCAAATATTTTGGGTCGAATGACGCAATATATACCACCTCCAACTCTCATCATATAAACTTTGACGTTCATATGGACGGCCAGACAGACGGACATGGACAGACGGACCTAGCCTTCCTGATCTGGAATACATATACTTTATAGGGCCAGAAACGCTTCCTAACTAAACATCCTTTAGTAACTAAAGTATTAGACTGAATTTTATTAAACTGCGTTCAGCAGAAACACCGGTGCTGAAAATTAATTTTAAAATCAATCTTCAATCTTGAATGATTCAGAGACATAGGCGCAGCGCAAGGTTTTTTTCAAATGTTGCCGCGCCCACTATTATAATATTATTATAATATATAATATTATATTTGTATTATTATATAATATTTTTCAGTTTTGTATTGGTTATTATATTATAATAGGTTGGAAAATATCTCCCTTCCGCTTTTTTGCTCTTTATTCAATGCCTTATAAAAAGTGTTAAAGTGATCGGATTTAGTTCAAATATGCGCCGTTTTGTTCGATAATCTGTTTCCATCTAGATGGCAACTTCATAATACCTCCCTCGTAGAAGCCCCCCTCCTTATTTGCGAAGAACTCGGACAGCCACTTTTCACAAGCCTCTTTTGAGTTCAACTTTACACCACCAAGGGCATTCGCAATGGACAGGAACAGGTGGTAATCACTTGGCGCTATGTCCGGGCTATATGGTGGATGCGATAAAACCTCCCATCCGAGCTCCCTTAGCTTCTGACGAGTCATCAACGAAGTGTGTGGTCTGGCGTTGTCCTGGTGGAAAGCTACACCCTTCCTGTTGGCTAATTCTGGACGCTTCTGGTCGATCGCCTGCTTCAAGCGATCCAGTTGTTCGCAGTAGATGGTAGAATTAAGCGTCTGGCCATATGGGAGCAGCTCATAGTGGATGATTCCCTTCCAATCCCACCAAACACACAGCAAAACCTTCCTGGCCGTCAATCCCGGCTTGGCCACTGTTTGGGACGATTCACCGGCCTTCGACCAAGACCGTTTTCGCTTGATATTGTCGTATGTGATCCATTTTTCGTCGCCAGTCACCATCCGCTTCAAGAATGGGTCGAGTTCGTTCCGTTTCAGCAGCATATCGCAGGCGTTGATTCGGTCCAGAAGGTTTTTTTGTCAAATCATGCGGCACCCAAACATCAAGTTTTTTTTTGTATCCAGCCTTCTGCAGATGGTTTAAAATGGTTTGGTGACTAACTCCCATCTCCTGGGAGATGCCACATGCCGGTCTAACTCGATGTATTCCATGATTTGATCGGTATTTGTCGTCACAGGTCTTCCGCCGGCTGGCTTACCCATGGTGTCGTTTTCACCGGCTCTGAATCGTCGAAACCATTGCTCCGCGGTTCGAAGTGATAGAGTACCATCCCCCAAAACACCATTAATCTCACGGAACGTTTCTCTGGCGGATTTGCCTTTAACGAAGGAAAACTTTAAAATAGCGCGAATTTCGGCGTTAGTGAACTCCATGTCTACACGTCTATAACTGTTGAACGCAATATCCAAACTAATCATGCATAGCGTCGTTTTGTAGGTTATGTCAAGACCTTTCAAATGATGTATAGTATTGCCAGATACGAGCTCTGTAGCGCTTTGTACATAGCCGCGAAATTCAAAAGACAAAAAGACGGAAGGGAGATATTTGCCAAACTAATAGATGTAACTTAAGTTTCAGGACACATTCTGAGCTATTCCACTTTTTGTGTTTAATTTTTTTTAACAGCAGCCACTAGCTGAATTCGCTTTCATCGATGGATGCGGCACAGTGAAGGTGAGTGATAAATAAAATTATTTATTAGACCTTATAGAAATATCCAAGCTGCGCGCGGTAATCAAATCAAGATTCTAGCTTTCTAGCTCATCTTTCTAGCTTTTATAGTTCCTGAGATCCTGATGTTCACGAACGAACAGGCGGACATGGCCAGATCGACTCGGCAATTGATCCTGATCAAGAGTAAGGGGATAAACAGAAATAATTTACTTACATCATGTAACATGTCTGTGCGACCTATTATGGAGTTGGAAACTTCGCGTCTATTTTGTAATTATGTACATGTTTTATGTTTATCATTAGTGTTGATGTAGTATTCTTCTTATGCCAAGGGACAGGATTTTAGAGACGCCTACGCCGTTTAATTCTGATTTAAGCCGCTGACACGCCCAATCAAACGAACCACGAACCGCCCAAAAATACCGCGACTACACTTTTGATCATTTTTACAATTTTTAAATGGTAATTATGTTGCCAATTTCCTTCGATATTTCAAAATAGCTTAGTAACGTGCATGTTATAGTCGAGGAACTCGTCTAAAGCGTTTTGAAAATATTATTAACCGGCTAACCGAAGCTGACTTCTTTTATTTCTTTAAGTATTGTTTTAATTTTAAATTGCTGACAAAAATTTGTCCAGGCCTACAAACCAAAAAAAAAATGTCACACCTAAAACATTAAAAATGTAATTTTTTTCTTCGTTTTCTTGCCAATTTCTATCGCAACAACATTTTAAAATGTCTTCCTAACTCTCCCACTCTCCCTAAAAGTCCTATTAGTTTTTAAATTATATTATTGACCGGCTAATATTTTGAATTGCAGATTGGAATATGTTTATCAAGCCAATACCTACCGATACGCTTAAACAAATTTGTCTTTTTTAATGGGTCATTTTAAATGGTGCAACAAATTATAACCAAATAAGGGTGTGAAATGCATCCAAATGTAGACATATTCGTTAAAAATATGCTAATTAGAATACAATATACCAATTAGTTATACAATTTTTAAGAAATTCAAGCAATTGCCAAATTGCGAACCGCAGATGCAACCCCGTCAACTTAAATTATTGAAACGTAACCTAAACACGTTGTATGCATATATTGCTGTAACACCGGTCTCTCACTGTGACGTTAAACAGAGCCAGAAAAAGCAAGCTCAATGTTCAGTTTGTTTCAGTTAACTCGCGGAGAAACTTCGTCGGGGCAAGAGCTTAAACTTTAAAGAAAAGTGAAAAGTCGTGTTGCTTGTTGGCTTGTTTTGGTTTTTCGGGCTAAGTGTCAATGTGCTAATGAGATAGATTGGATGATGTGCCGCATTCGAAACACCCATTTTATTCTTCTCCAATTGCATACTGTTTTATACATAGCACAATGCTATTAACTGTTATGATTAAATATTTGCATTTTGAAATATATTAAAATGGGAGTTTAAAAGTTCGTTTACTCTGGTGAAAGTGTGCTAACGGTTTTGTATGCCTTCAAATACTGCCGTGACGAAACACAGTCTCAGCAATAGCAATACTGCTGGGCCTCAGAAAACTTATCTCACTGCAAGTCATATGCATAGGGTATTAAGTGCAACACAATATATTTAAAAATTAACATGCGGCTTTAATGATTTGAGTATTTGTGTACGTAAAGCGTGTTCTACTATTCATAAACTTTTGACTCCCTTTATACACCTAGTACGAATAACCCGAATAAAAGAATAAAGGAAAAGATTTTGGATTATGATTCCATATAATTTTATGAAATTATACAATAACTGCAATCGATTCGGTAAAAGATATTTAGATGAAATGTAATTTTTACGTTCTGCGCCGATGTTTGTAAGATAATGGTACATTTTTATTATTATAATAACTCATTAATTTATATTTCAAGGATAAAAGCAGTGTATTACACTTCGGCAACTCGAACGAAGTTTTCTTTATTAATATTTATTTCATGCAAGAAACAAGAAGGAAGCTAACGGTGTAAAACCAAAACACATATGTTTACTAGATTATAAGTACACAATATTGATCGGATCCCTCTTCTTTTATCTTTTATCGCATCTTCTTTGTGTAAAATATAAAATATATATAAACGCTGTAAATGAATATGGTCAATATGGCAAAAAAAAAGGAATCCAAAACTGTCACTGAAACTGATATCTGAAACTCTTTCTGTTACTCTTGTTTTCTTTTGGAAATATATGTTACAATAGTCAGATATATTATATTATTAGCTCTGAACACTTCAAAAAGTACTAGCCGAGTCGATCGATACATATGTATATCCGTCTGTCAGGCCGTCTGTGCGACCGTGTGAGGTGAAATTTATCATGCAAGTTGTGTGACACCTACGCATTGCGAGACTGTGTCAAAATGTTCCTCCCGAACGGCCAGGTATACACATAGTTATGTATTACACCTTTTTCGGTTGGCAAAAAGGTTACAGGGTGCTTTGCGTTAGGCAAAATTTACGAAGTTGGACTGGATTGGAGAGGAAAACAAATGTTTTTATTTAAGATTTTTTTTTTCATATGAACCTCTACAATGAATGTCAATAACCAAATAAGGCAGAACAAGTTTTTGGTTGATCGTAATTTCAACGTAAAAAATGTATATAACATTTATATCTTTAACTAATGTTTTTAAAAGCCAATTATAGAAAAACTGTTTCTGGTTCAGTAAATTCTTTAAGCCCGACCGTCATTTTGTAATAAACCATTTTTGTTGGTCCCGTCGATTTAATTATACCAGTTAGTTGTAGAAATTTTACAATTCTACAAAACTTATACAAGAGTAGAAGTTGAACAATATGTAACAGGAAATGGGAAAATAAAGTATATATATTTTTGATCAACCTTCACTTTCTCTCTTGTTATACGCGATAGTCGTGGAGTAAAAGGGTACACTAGATTCGTTGAAAAGTATGTCACAGGTGGAAGGAATCATTTCCGACCCTATAAAGTATATATGAATATATATACGTATTCTTATGTAACAGGTAGAAGGAAGCTTTTCCGACTATAAAATGTATATATATTCTTAATTAGGAACTATAAACGCTGGAAAGTTGAGATAAAACATCCAGATTCCCCAGACATAGACGCAGTTTGTTTACTGATGTTGCCACGCCCACACTTTTAAAAAATATTTTGATATTTATAAACGTTACTCGCACAGTAAAAGGGTATACTAGATTCGTTGAGAAGTATGCAACGGGTAGAAGGAAGCGTTTCAGGCTATATAAATTATCTTTCCGTCTGTCTGTCCGTAGGTATAAACATCGAGATCTTAGGGACTGGAAGATAGTTGAGAATATGCTTTTGATGATGTTGCCACGCCCACTCTAACACCCACTAGCCGCGCAAAACTGTCACTCCCACACTTTTGAAAGATGTGTTGATATTTTTCCATTTTTTGATTAGTCTTGTAAGCTTCTATCAATTTGCCACACAATCGTTTTGCCACGCCCACTCTAAAGCCCAGAAACTGTTCAACTCTGTCTCGCCCACACTTTTAAAAAATGTTTTGATATATTTTCATCAGCCTTGTTCTATTAATTTACCTAAAAACTTTTTCTCACGCCCACACTTCTTCCGATCTTCCCAATTTGTACGGATATTACAGAAAATGTTAAAATTGCTCGTTCGCACTTTCACTATGATGACTTTTTAAGACAAATTCGATCGGTTAAGCTCAATTGATGCACCTACTGATTCATATACATACTTTACTTTACAAATTATTCTTAACTAATTACATTTTGAATTTCCCAAAGTAAATAAATAAAGAAATCTTAATTGTTAAATCAAAATTAGTAAGAAATATCCCTCTCGCCAAAGGAGCAAGTTTAATCTGTTGTTCCTTAACCAATATGGGGCTAGGACGTCTTAAAAAGTTTACTTTTGTATTACATTGCTCCGTACAAAAACTACCTGGCATGTTGCAAAAATAAGTTCTAAAACAATTTAAAACTTCCCATCATCTAAATAATGTTTCTGCCGTTTCTAACATGGAATTTCGCTCACCTGTTTGCTGATTCACTCCAATATTGACTATGTTTCAGTTCAATCTGGATACTTCAAGGGATGCTACCTCGTTAGGTATCTGAATTCCGCCAAGTTACTCGACTACATTTTCCCTTTTCTTCTGCATATTTTCCGCTCATATCCATGCGTTCTATAAAATCCGGTACTTTTCTTTTCCGAAATAGCCTGTTTCGTAATCTCAACTAAAATAAAGATTTTAAGAAATTGTATGAAGCTAACATTAATAGCATTACTTTAAGTATTCAATTTATATTTCGCAAACAATATTGGTCTATTAAACTTATATTTAAGTTTAACTTTATCTATGAAATTGAAACAAATTATTTTATAACTTAAACAACTAAATAATAGACTAATGTTTTAAAACTCTAAATATTTGATTACAAACAAAATTAGAATTCTTAAAAATCTCTAAAAATTCGTTTCGACCTTAAATCTTGGCGTTTAATTATTGTTTGAAACAATGATATATTCGATAAACGCCACTTCTATTCATCCTCAATTCCATGCTTTAAAAAGTTATAAAAAATTTAAAATTAATATTAGTTTCTCCTCAAAACAAATACTTTCCTTGTAGAGCATAGTCTATTTAAGATATCCAGAATTGTGCAAAATCGATTAGTTGACGCCCACACTTCTTTTTTAATTTGTCGTGCCAATTTTAATATATCAAAAACATTTTAGCCACGCACACTTAAACGCCCGCAAATTTTAAAAACATGTCACTCTCATATTTTTCTGGATACCTGTTACTTAGCTAGTGTTATTGCAAACAAGAAATTGTGTTAGGGGGTTCGTAGAAAAAAGTTTTTTTGAAAATCAATAAAAATAACACAATAAAGTTTTAAGAGTGTCGTATTAAAAAATAAAGTCGCGTTCATCGACTATCAGATAGTGGTAGTGCAAATGAGAAATGTCAACATTTTCTGGAATATCGACAGATATTGGAGAGAGTATAAGAAATTAAAAAATAAATGTACAATTTTTTAAAGAAATATCAAAAATTTTTGTGGAGTGTGGAGAAATGTTTTTTGGCAAACTTATAGAAATTTACAAATTATATACAAAAATGAAAAATATCAACAAGTGAGGGTTGACAGTTTTGGTCGGTTTGTGGGCGTTACAGTGGACGTGGTAAAAAGTTTTTCTGCTAATCGTTAGAAATTTACCAATCTAACAAAAATAATGACAAAATATTTAAGCATTTTTCGAAAGTGTGGGCAGTTCTCCGCGGTTTGTGCAAAACAGGCACGCGCAGACTTTTGAAAATTATTTTAATTTTTTTTCATTTTATTATTGTTTGTCTCCATTTCTACCGATATGTCGGAAAAATGTTAAAATTTCTCTTTCGCACTTCCACTAACTGAGAAACGGGTATATGTTAGTCATCATTGTTTTTAATGTAATAAGCTGTTCTTATTTGGTACACACCATGTTTTCTTTTAAAATATAATTACTGCAGGGGTATTTAAGATTCGGCTTGGCGAAGCTAGCTTCTTTACTTTCTTTTTAATTATATGTAAACTTAAAACAGTAGTTGCAGCCTTGCTTTCTCTAGGTAAGACTTCTGCAATTTACCAAGGCCCAATGTCGCGTTTTCTTCTTTTGTACATTTCGGCAACGGACTTAAAATGTTACACAAGCGGCAGTTCCTTTAACGCCAATTAGTAGCGATGAGAGATTCTTTTAGCTCCGGTGATATAAGCAGCTATGACAAAGTTGATTCAATAATGCGTATCGGTACCGTGGAAAACATGAATAATGAATTTGAATGCTAACAATCAAAACTCTAAATATTGAATCGCATGTACATGCTGAAGAGGAACAGATGACGTGTTCCGATTTTAAGAACTAAATATAGTAAGTTATTTCGATAAGGCATTTTATTGCCTCATCCTGCTCTTCTATACTCTGCTTTAACGATCGTAAATAGCACAATCCCGTGAAATGTCCCATGTTTTTAAATCTAGCTTAAAGTCTATGGAACAAGAAAGCGAAACGAATGTCTGCAAAAAAACAATAACATCGAGCATCATCCAGCTCCATTCGGAGCTCGTGCACAACAGTCGCTACAAAGCGGCTAGCCATCACCATCTCCATGCAGTATAAATGTGATCAAGTTGTTCGCACCCATCCTAATATCAAGCAGAACTTGAAGGCTTCTAACTGCGGAAGAAGCCGCAGACTGTGATTTCGCGCCCGTGTCAGCGCGGTTTTGCTTTAACAAAAAAAAAAACATATAAATGTAACGGCAAAACGTTTTTGGTATACCTACAGAAACTGACAAATAATGAAGGGACAAATAATAAATCGAAAAAAAATCAAAACATTTTTCAAAAGAGTGGGCGTGGTAGTGGGCGTGGTAAAAATAAACGTTTTATGTTTTCCAATGCATTACCGAGAATCAGAAGATTTTAATAATGACGTGTATAGGGATTACTACTTTAAAAAATAAAAAGAAGGGTTGTATTTCTTCAAAACAGAATTTTTAATTGTGATATGCTCTTTACAGAAAGGATATATGAACTCCGACTTGGCAAAGATAGGTGTATTTTTTAAAAATACTTACAATTTTATAAATAATTTCAATAATTTCAAATAATGACAAATACAATTAAATTTGTTAAGTATAAATACTTATTTGCTATATGCTCATAAATGTCATTCTTGAACCTTTGCAAATAAAGTTTTAATTTTTTTCAGCAATTATGTTGTAAAGGGGTCTTTTCAACACAGGCGATGTGGCTACTATCGCTAAGAGTAAAGTAGTTTTATAGAATCAGAATTTTGTCTCTGAGTAGTATAACAAGATAGAACCCTATAGTCGAGTTCCCCGCAATAGAAAAAATGTACAAGACTAATTCAAAAACGAAAAAATATCAAAACATTTTTCAAACGTGTGGGTGTTGCAGTTTTGGGCGGTTTGTGGGCGTTAGAGTGGGAATGGCAACAACATTTAAGAAACTTGAATTTTATTTCAATGTCTTTGGTGACAGCTTTGGATGGTTTGTGGCCGTAAAATCAAATATTTTTTGTCTTCACCACGTTTATTTGATATATTCTTTGTACGTTTGCATACGTTTTGTACGATTGAATATTTTGCAAAAGAGCATTGTAGTCAAGAAGACTGATCAATAAGGTATTTGTAGCCATTTTCGTTGGTTTCCATAGCGTATAGCATAGCATAGTATAGTTGACCATCTTTTGATTTGAAAATTTTTCTATTTATTTATTTATATCACATTTATGAAATTTTTGTCAAATTCTCACTCGTAAAGATAAAAGGCTATGACAACTATGGCTTTTTAAAGTTATTTTCTGTTCACGTGTTACTTTTGTATATATCTTAATGCATTCAGGAAAATGTATAATGATCTCTTAGAGTAAAGCCGTTTTTAGCATTAGTATGAGTAGTATAACAAATGAAATTAATGAGTAGGAAGTATGGGTATTAAAAGGGTCTTCGTTTTGGGCGAACATCTTTTTATTACCCAAATGTTTGTTGCTTGTGTTTTAGAGGTAGTCCAGTCTACTACCTGTTGACTTTTTGCTGACACTGTACGACATTAAAAGTTAATTTAAATGGAATCGCATCAATTATATATACATTATGTAATTTTGAGCCGTGTACTATACGGTCGATTAAAAGACTTAAATAGCAAGCTAAATAGATAAAAAGTCTATTAGGCTGAAGCCCACGTACTGACCTGACGTCGCGACAAATGGTTTAAAATAAAAAAGCCGGTGTAGAACCTAAGTAGTCCAAGTCCGACACCCACTAGATTAAAATAAACTTCTTTTTTAGCAACATGCTTTCAAAAATTGCATTGTTTCTTATTATCTGGAGTTGCGGCACATTGGCTGCGGACATCCTAATGGCTACACAAGGTAAGAATAGTTTAAGACTATATACATTCTGTTAGTCAATAAGAAATGATAAGGTTTGACTTTTGAGATACCTACAACTTAGTTTATTAGTAAAAAATCTAAAAAACCTTTAAATTGCTTACCCAATTATATTAAATGTTAAATTTTTTAAACTTTTATATATTCACTTTTAATTTATATGCGTCTTTAATGAGTTATTACTTTCGAATGCCATGCCATTTTAGGCTACCAAAAACAGGTGATTTTACAGTTGATTTTGATATAATCTCATCATGTCATAAATAATATTAAGTGTTTCCTTAAACTAAACTATGAAACTTTATTCTCTTAGATTGATATATACCAAGGGTGACCATACCACCGTATTTTAAGCTTATATACAATGATATGGACAATACATAAAACAAAATTAATTCTTCATTTCATTTTGAGTGTTCTTTAAGTTGGGCAAGAACAATGCCATTGTCCAAAGATCAAAATTGGTAGACTAAGGAGTATTAATTTTTGATGCCGGCAAAATATTTTCCACCTCATAGACAAATTTTTTTTGTATTACCCGTTACTCGTGGAGTAAAAGTATATAAAGTATATATATTCTCGATCAGGATAAATAGCCGAGTCTATCTGGCCATGTCCATCTGTCTGGCCGTCCGTATAAACGTCGAGATCTCAGGAGCTATAAAAGCTAGAAAGTTAAGATCAGGCATGCAGATTCCATAGACATAGACGCTGATTCTGCGCAAGCTTGTTTATTATTTTGTTGATGTTATTTTTTTAACGGCCACAACCGCCCAAAACTACCACGACCAAACTTTTGAAAAATGTTTTGATGTTTCCAATTTTTTAATTGGAAATTTCTATTAATTTGCCCTAAAACTTTTTGCCACGCTCACAAACTGCACAAAACTTTTACCCCACACTTTGTAAAAAATGTTACAATTTTTAAATTGTATTACTTTTTTCGCAATTTATACCGATATTCCAGAAAATCTTGAAATTTTTCGTTAGCACTTCCACTGTTATTTGATATCCAGCGAACTGGACCATTCTGTCATTTTTGTTTATTTAAACCAGTGAAAGTGACATATCCGAAACAATATATAGTGCATATTCAAACTCAACAGTCGAGTCAACGAGCTTTAGAATTTCTGCATACAACGAAAGTCTTCGTTGGTCTAGTTATTCAAAACATTATACAACGTTTATTTACTTCTAAACTTTACTTTATCTAATTTTGTAAATAAAAGTGATTTAAAAACATAAGTATACTAAATATTGATTGTCATTAGTTATACTCATATTGTAGATACTATACGAGATACGTTTCAAAAGCGTCTAACAGTTATAAGGAAGCGTTTTCCCTATAAAGTTTACATATTCTATATCAGTATGACGAGCAGAGTTGATATAGCCATGTTCGCCTGTTCGTCAGTTTGATCTGTCTGTCCGTATGAGCGCTGTGATTTGGGAACTGTAAAAGCTAGAAAGTTCAGGTTTTACTGACGCCTACGCTCTGCAGTTATAAAAACTGTTAATTTAAATTAAATTTTTTTAAGAAAAAAGATAGAATGCTATTGTCGAGTTCCCTTTACTCAGCTAGTGCTAGTGGAAGTGCTAACGAGAAATTTAAAAATTTTCTGTAATATCGGTAGAAATTGGGGAAAAAATAATTCAAGCAAAAACAATTTTTTAAAAGTGCGGGTGTGAGAGTTTTGTGCGATTTGTGGACGTCAGAGTGGATGTGTCAAAAAGTTTTATGAGAAAAAATATCACATTTTTCAAAAGTGTAGGCGTGACAGTTTTGGGCGTTGGTTTGGGCGTGACAAAATTTTTTTTTGCAAATCTATAGAAATATACAATACATAAAAAAAAACTAAAAAAAATATCGCATTTTTCAAAGGTGTGGCCGTGACGGTTTAGTGCGATTTGTAGGCGTTAGAGTGGGCGTGGCAACATTTGGAAATAAACTTGCGCTGCGTCTAAGTCTCTGAAAGCTGCATGCTTAATGTCTAGGTTTTGTAGTTCCTGAGATCGATGCGTTCATACGGACAGACGGACGAACAGACGTAATGGCCAGATCGACTCGGCTATTGATCCTGATGAAGGATATATATACTTCATATAATCGGAAACGTTTTCTTCTGCCTGTTACATACTTTTCAACGAAGCTAGTATACCATTTTACTCTACGAGTAACGGGTATAATAAAACATGTTTTCGAGAGCTTCTCTCTCTTCTCATTAAACAATGAATACCCTTATTTTTTCACCTTGAGCGTATAATCTAAGATAAACCTTACTCGTGTACAAATTAAAAATATATTTTTTAAAATTTTCAGGCGGAACGAAGTCACACAAGATACCATTCTGGGAGTTAGCTAAGGGATTAATATCCAGGTATATATGAAATAAGAAATTATTTAAAATTTGTTTGTATCCTATAATGTAAAAAGAATTTTTTTCTTTTGGGACGTTTGTTTTCTTTAAAACTCGATTAGCGGTATTTAAGTGTGATGTCAGTTACTCGTATTTTTAAAGGGTATACTAGATTCGTTGAAAAGTATGTAACAGGTAGAAGGAAGCGTTTCCGACTATATAAGGTATATATATTCTTGATCAATAGCCGAGTCGATCTGGCCATGTCCGTCCGTCTGTAAGTCCGTCCGAATAAACGTCGAGATCTCAGGACAGTCTCACAAACTGCCACGCTTACACTTTTGCAAAATGTTTGGAGATTTTTTCAATTGTTTTAATAGTCTTGTAAATTTCTATCGATTTGAAAAAAACAACAAAAATTTGCAAACTTATGTGAAATTTTATTTTATTTAACTTTTTTCCCGCAAAATTCTACCGAAAATGTTAAAATTTCTCGGTCGCACTTGCACTACCTAAGTAACGGAACTCGACTATAGGATTCTCCCTTATTTTTTTATGTACATTACATTTCATTTATTCATTTTATTATGTACATTAGGACAGCATAAGTTTCCGTATCATTAGCAAATTTAGAATTTAAAAATATTATTAATAATGTGCTACTTACTTGCAAAATACTAACCTATATTTTAAAGCCGTTCTTAGACAACAGAAATCACTGACGATATTAAAAATTCAAAATTGAAAATGCAAGTAATGAGAAACGCAACAATAATGCTACGCACTTTTTTGTATGGTTTTTTTTCGATTTCGTTAATTGCGTTTTGTAAGAACCGTTTGTTCAAATTTGATTGCCCTTCTTACTATGGCTGTAAAAATATAGCGTCAGGCAATGTAGGAAATCATATGATGTACACATTTTAGAGAAAATATTACGTATATATTATATATTAAATCCTCAATCATTCCCAATAGGTGCAAATGTAGATATATTAACAAATTTATATATAAAAATTTAACATTCACAAATTTAAAAAAAGCACATTAATCAAAATATATTATAAAATTATATTATATTATAATTGAAAAAGATGCTAGTAATTCTACAGAAACTGTGTGTAGCTAAAACATAGTTACGACTTGTAATTGTGATTGAGAAATTTAGGCTTCTTTTTTTTTATTTTCATTTTTCAAAAACCGTTTGTTCAAATAGCTTGCCCTTCTTGGCAATGTAGGAAATCAAAATGGACACATTTTAGAGAAAATATTTCACATATGTATATTATATATGAAATCCTAAATCATTCCTAAAAGGTACATATGTACATGTCGGAGACTAAGTTGTTCTAAAGTATTATTATTTTAATATAACCGAAATTGTTATTATTAAGTCATGTTTAGAATAAAGTGCTGGGCACATTTATCAAGAGAGCGAGCCGTTATTGAGAGAGCATCGTTTGTAGGTATACTCAAATGAACATGTGGTTGTAGCTTTGTATAGTTTCGTATCAACGAAATGAGTATGATGAAATACTTAAGAAGTGGCGAAATCGAAGTAAAGCTTTGAGAGAGAGCGTCGCTCACAGAACACACAGGCGACTTGCTGGGCCTATCAATATGGACGCAGAAGAAGAAAAAGAAAACCGAACCCAAAACCCGTCATCAGAAGTTGGATCGGCCTAATCCCAAGATCTCTCGAACGATTAGTGGCGTGCATTATTTAAATCTCAAAACAAAACTTTTATGGAGTTATTTTAATCTATGCAGACCTCCAAAATGAAGGCGCAACTCAACAAAGTGACTCTACCGAAGTTTAAACGAAGTTGCAAATGCGGACGCAGCTGCATGGCGCAAAATAATTAATGCAAAAATAGGTTGGATGGAAGTAACCAGTAACAGACAAGTAACAGCATTACTATTAAAGTGGAAAGAAATTAACAATGAAGAAATTGCGGTATCGTTCGTCCAGTTTTCCCTATTAAAAGACAAATTATCAGATAAGTTCATGGGAAAAAGAATTGATAATAACTGTATATTGATAATAAGAGCGAGTTTGTTTTATATAAAATTCATACCGTCAATACAGTGACTAGCATTGCCTATATGAATTATATGGATTTCATAAATAGAGATAGTAAACTGGGTCAGACCGACAAGACTGAACTTGCAGAAATATTGAAATCCTATGCACCAAAATTTATAAATGGTATGTCAAGTAACCGTGTTACCACAGGTTAATTAGAGATCCGTTTGATTGATGCCAATAAAACCGTAGTGAGGCGTCCATATAGGTTAAGTATTGAAGAAAAGTTGTTGGTAATAAATAAATTCAGGAACTTTTAGCTTCAAATGTTATACGCCTAAGTAGTTCCCCGTTTGCGAGTCCAATGTTGTTGGTAAAGAAAATGGATGGCAGTGATCGTTTGTGCATTGATTACCGCGAACTAAACTCTTCTTTTCCCTTGATATCAGACCAAATTGATAGAGTGTGTGGAAGCAAGTATTTTACAAGCCTCGATATGGCGAGCGGTTTCTATCAGATACCAATAAAGCCAGAATCGATAGAACGCACAGCCTTCGTCACAAAAGAAGGACAATATGAGTTCGCAGCCATGCCCTTTGGCTTAAAGAACGCTTCATCTGTGTTTCAGCGAGCCATAATGAAAGCTTTAGGTGAGATGGCGTACTCATATGCTGTAGTCTATAAAGATCATGTTCTGATCGTAGCTGGAACAAAGGGGGCGGCTTTTGTTAGATTAAAAGATGTGCTGCAAAAGTTATCTAGTGTGGGATTTTCGTTTAACATGAGCAAGTGCTCATTTCTGAAGACGAGCGTTAAGTATCTTGGCTACAAAATTGAGAATGGCGAAATAAGACCAAATCCACCCAAAATTCAAGCATTGGCTGCATTGTCGCCGCCACAAGCAGTTACACAACTGAGACAGTTCATTGGCTTTTCGTAATTTTTCCGACAATTTGTTCCACGCTTTTACGAGCTTATGAAGCCATTATACTTACTTACATCATAAAATAGCCAATTTGAATAGCATGACAGACATGAGCAGGTGCGCCAAGAGAAAATATCAACTCTAGTCAGTGACTCCGTAATAATCATTTATGACCCCAAGTACCGGGTTGAACTGCACACTGATGCTAGCGCAGACGGTGCCATATTGATGCACAAAATTGATGGTAAGCCAAGAGTCAAAGAGTATTATAGTAAGAGCACTACAGATATAGAGTCAACGTATCACTCTTATGATTTGAAACACTTGCTGTATACAATGGAGTAAAACATTTCCGCCGGTATCTACATGGCCGCCCATTTGTGGTTTATACAGACTGCAATAAGGTAGATCGTATAAGTTTGAGATTGAGTATAGAAAAGAACAGAGTATGGCACATGTAGAGTTTCTGTCTAGGAATCCACTACCAGATGCTAAACGCTCTGACGTCACTAAGGTATCTGAAGTTCGTGTAGAACTGATAACTGTTTGCTTGCGGAACAGCATAGGGATGAAGAAATTTCTGAAACTGCAAAATAACGAATTGCAACACGAAATAGCAAAAACGTACGAACTAAGATCCGAAATAGGCCGAAATATCCCTAAGGCCGAAATAGGTCCCTACGAGTAATACTACGAGCATTCATGTGATCCATAATAAACCATGTCCATGAAGCTATTATGCACTTGGGATGGGAAAAGACCTTGGATAAGGTATACACGCAGTATTGGTTTCAAAATATGTCCAAATATGTGCGAAAGTTTGTAGAGAATAGCATTAAATCGGTATACATATTACTGCAACGGGTGCTAGTCGCGCAAACGGCCAGGTCGAGCGCGTAGCACTCTGAAGGCTATGCTAACAGCTGTAGAGACGAAGGTTCAATTGGCTATGAATTGCACGGCTAATCGAGTCACAAAAATTAGTCCTTTGGAATTGGCAAGGAAGCTTGACCAATGGGCATGATGCCATTAATAGAAGAAGAAAAGGTTGATATAGAATGTGTTAGGTATTCGACCTTGCAAAACATAACAAGAAATTCTGAATATGATTAGCATAGATTTGATGAAAATAAAGGCAAAATAGTACGATATGATGTAGACGACAATGTCTGGCTCAATAACGAAGAACGGCACCAAACCCGAAGTTTAGGAGTCCATTTGTAATAACGGAAAAGCTTGATGGTGACCGATGTATATGTTGAGATCTTTGACGAGCAAAAGAACGTGTAAGTATGTCCACGAGAAGTTAAGGTCGATGTCTGTTAAGGTAGATGCAGACCAATGCGAGAGGTCGCCGACTGAGGCACTCGGAGATACCATAGACTCTGGTTCACTACAGCTACAGCTACACCATAGAGTTATCTCCGCACTTACTATGTGGCGAGGGCTATGTGGGACCAGAGGGACCATGACGCATTCTGATGCGTGAGAACGTTGCAAGAAGTGCAGCAAGAGCATAAGAGAGAGTGAATTGATAGAGAGTTGAAGAGAGAGAGAGAGAGAGAGAGAGATTGGTGGCAAAAGATGCGTTACTGTTTGAAAAAAAGAAATAAAATCAGAAAATATGAATTAAGAGCTTGAGCAAGGCAAGGGATGCCGATATGTTGTTTTTATGAAATTGAATAAAAATTAAAGAAATTATTATGTTGAGTTAAAAAATAAATAAAACGAATGGAGAAAGAAAACGTTATGTTATATGAAAGGAACTATGTAATGCGACAAAACACACGAGGACGTGTGCATGTCAGGAAGGCCGTGTCGGAGATTAAGTTGTTCTAAAGAATTATTATTTGAATATTAAGTCATGTTAAGAATAAAGTGATGGGCACATTTATCAAAAAGAGCGTGCCGTTATTGAGAGAGCATCGTTTGTAGGTATAATCAAATGAGCATGGCGTCTGTGGTTGTAGCTTTGTAGAGTTTCGTGTCAACGGAGGATGATGAAATACTTAAGAAGTGACGAAGTAAAGCTTTCAGAGAGAGCGACGCTCACAGTTAGTCTGGTGAGAAAGATCGAAAGGAGAACACACAGGGGACTTGCTGTGCCTATCAAGATGGACGCAGAAGAAGAAAAAGAAAACCGAACCCAAAACCCATCGTACATATATAAAAAATGTATATTAACATTCAAAATTTTAAAAGAGCACTTCTTAAAATCCAAATATAATTAAAAAAGATGCTAGTAATTCTACAGAAACTGTGTGTAGCTAAAACATAGTTTCGACTTGTAATTGTGATTGTAAAAATAAGAACCATCGGCAAACTCTTGATAATACCCGTTACTCGTAGGTTAAAAAAGTATACTAGATTCGTTGAAAAGTACGTATCAGGCAGAAGGAAGAGTTTCCGACCATATAAAGTATACACGTGTATATATTCTTGATCAGTAGTGGAGTCGATCCGGCCATGTCCGCCTGTCCGTCCATATGAACGTGGAAATTTCAGGAAATGCAAACTCCAGAGACATAGACGCAGCGCAACGTTATTATATGATGATGCCACTCTCACCTTAACGCCACTTAACTGCCACTCCCACACTTTTGAAAAATGATGTCCTATTTTTTAATTTTTTTTTATCAATATTGTAAATTTCTATCGATTTGCAAAGGAACTTATTGCCACGCCCAATCTAACGCGCACAAATCACCCAAAACTATCACGCCCACACTTTTAAATAAGTGTAACATTTATTTTTATTGTTTTTCGCAATTTCTACCGATATTCCAGAAAATTATGAAATTTCTCGTTCGCACTAGCGGAGTAACGGGTATCTGATAGTCGGGGAACTCAACTATAGCATTCTCTCTTCTTTGTTAATATTACTTACACAATTTGGAAAAACATTGTATTAAGAAACTCGATTTTAAAGGTAAGCTTTCAAACCTCCCAGAGTTTATATTCATTGGATTGGATTCGAAAGAGTCGAGGTACGTCCATATACTCCACTTCCAATGCGCTGTAACTGCTGCAAAGTTCTGCAAGAACGCATCTACATAATTGCAGCCTTAAAATTCATTACAGAAGGAGAAACATGTACTAATAAGACGAACTGCAATGATAGCCATCTAACGGATTACGAACATCACGCTCGAAACAGACAGGGTTTTCTGTTCAGCAAGAAAGTTCAGGCAATAAAGATATTTCAGTCAGTAGATAACTTTACAGCCTGGTCCATCTAAAACAAACGTCGTTACGATAGCTCCCTATAATGATCGACTGTTGAATTAACCTGCAATTATACGAGTATGTACGCCAGCCACAACCATCCACTGGCTCCCAAATCCCTTAAGAAACCAGTCAATGTGATGTTAATACTACAGAAAGAAATGAGCTTTGCTTTTCCGTTGAAAAGTATGTGACAGGAAGAGTTTCCGACCCTTGAAGTACACTAATAGAAAAAGTGCACTCAAAAAGTCAGGACAACGCATCTTAAAGGCAACGCTACGGATCATAAATGCAAAACAACGCGCCATGAAATTTTTTCTTTCGCAATTTAAGCTTGATTTTATAAAATTACGGGAAATTTTTTCGTTGGCACCTACCCTGAAATTAAGGGCGAATTACCATGTATTTTCGTCGATCTTTCGGGAATTTTATTTGTGCATTAATTGTTGTGAAGACAAGAACATTACAACAGACGTAGACGATTTTTTTGAAAGAAATGGGAGACAAAGCCTTACTTAAGATTTTTTATGGTAAGTACATTCATTTAATTTTGTGTTTATCAATACGTAAGGTTATTTTTGTGAAAATAATAGAATATTACATATAATAATTTAAGGCTTCATATTCGTTCCCTTTAGAACAACAATTTTGCGTCTTAACGCTTAAATCGTTGAAGTCGGACTAGCTACGATGAATAATTCGCTTAGAGCTTGTTGGAGAAGTTGTCGAGTTTTTCCACCGGATGGAAAAATGGGAAAATTATATAAGTTATATCATTATGTCTGTTTTTTTTCCTTATATTCGTACAATTTCATCGCACATATGTATTTATGTATGCTTATGTATCATCGTCCGCCTTTGCAGCCCCCCTTAATAATAACACAAATATTAAATAATAAAATGTATATTAAGTCCAAGTATTATTTATTTATTTATAAAATTAAATTTAATAAAAATATATACAAAAAAATACATCTAATAAAAATATAAAAAAAAAAATTGATCTTTTTATTTGGGAAAAATTTTTTATAATATTTAATATTTTAAATATTAATTTAAAAAAAATTGCCTTTAATTTTAGAAAATGGTGACATTTTTTTTTAAATTGAGGGCAAGTTGGTAATGGCTACCTATAAAAAAGCAGCAGTACTGTAGTTTTTGTTTTTGATGACCATGCGGCAATTTTCAGAGTTCCCGTGACTTCTTCTGAATCCGAATTCGTATTCAGGAATAATGGAAAGTTCGTCCAAAGTTAACAACATACTCTTTAATAGTAAAATATGAAGGATTTTATTAACATATTCCCGAAAAACAGAATGCTTATGCCAAGTTTCCAAGCATGTTTTTCTTTTCCTTGTTGAAAAAAAAACAGTTGATATCAGAGCTTTTGTGTGTTGAGGGCCGAACGTCACCAGTCTTTACCACGTTAAGAAGTGTTTTTGATTGGTATCAGAAGTTTTTAAAGAAAATATATAAAAACTTATTAGTGTACCTTACTATCCTTACTCATCCTCATATTAAAAAAATTTACACTCAGAGAAAAAACCATTCCCAACATTCTCTATTTTCGATCTCAAAATCTAGCCAAGACGGATCATGTTCAGACCGAGATCGAACAATTCTCATGTTGCAAATGATTATCGATAATTCTTATCTATATTGAGAAAATATATTTTCGCTATATTTTTCGAGAAAAACCGATATCGGTATCGAGAAGAATCGATCTCGGTATCGGCAAGATCAGAACTAATTATCGAGAAGAATCGATCTCGCTTTCGAGACATATCCAAAAAAATGCATTTTACTTTACATAAATAGTACATTCTTTTTATATCTTAGAACATATCACGTTAGGTTAATAATTAGTATTAAATAAATAATTATACTATAATTAAACAAAAATTTAATACTCAGCAAAAAAAAGAATCGCTTTACTGTTCAACTTAAATTAATTTTAATAAATTTAAAACAAACTTTGTTAAGTACATACCCAGGTGAGGTTGCTTATGCATCTAGCGAGGTTGGGTTAACTTTGGATGGAGATTTCTTCTTAAAACCTTATGCAACAATAAAAATTTATTTAATTAATTTTTTTTTTTTGTCGTAAATAATTTTACCTACATTAGGATTTTAAGTAGACGGGCTTTCGTCTCGCCAAAAGCTTTGGTCGTCTAAATGACCAAAGCCATACGAGCAGCTGTTAACTGCAGCATACCACAAACAAAAATAATTATTCAGAAAGCCAAGATGCCATGGTGGATCTCTGAGTTTCAACAGCTCAAAGACCAAAAACAAGGATAATACTCTTTAGTTAAACAATCTGCAAACAATTAAAAATTTCCCCAAAAAAAAAAAAATGCCCAAATTATAATTAATTATAACTTATTTAGACCTGTTATTAACAAATTTCTATGCTTCAGAGGACACAATATTACCTTTCTAAGTGGATTTCCTGCTGATTTCAACATTGAAGGACTGCATGAGATAACACCAGCCGGCCTAGTTGAATATATCCACAACTATACCAATTGGGATCTTTTGGGCTCACGAATGGCTGGAGAAATGCCCATTAAGCCCTGGGATGGCCTGCGATACGCTTTTGAAGTAAGTTCGAAATTTAAACTGATTTTAGAGTATCAGGAATATAAAGAAGTGAATCGACCCTTTGCAAAATGATTATATTGATTAAAACTCCCTTTTATAGTATTACTGATAGCAAAATTCTAAACTTTACCTGCACAGTTTCTCAAAATAAAGGCCCTTCGGTTGTTACGACTGAACATTTTAACGGCTTGCATACATATTAATTTCGACTGACGGTTAAAGTCAAAAACATTAAGATTCCGTGTATCTCTGGGATGTAAGAGATTCACTCTTTTGATATTCGTCTCTCAGATCTGCAGAATTGCAGCTTTTTTTGTCCTCTTCATGTCGGTGAATTCATACTCGAAAATTAATGAATAAATTATAATTCAACTATGTATATTGCAGACATAGGGCATTATATTCTGATTTTTTTTTTGTTATGTAGGTATATTAGTGCCCTTGCATAAGATCGCCGTATTTGGGTCGTGGGATCGAGAATAAATATTAAAAGTGCCTTGATCGTAAAACTATCGAACTGTGTTTTGGACACATTACCTTCCCTTCACACATTCGTGTCCCAAATTGATCGATGAATCATATGATACTCGCTGTTGAAGAGTTTATTAAAAAGTTGATGTAAAATTCTAAGTGGTATTACGAAATTAGAATAATAATATTCCAATATTTTGTGACCCAAATTTCGATATGATTCTCTCTGTTATCCTCCTTTTATTAAGACTTAGAGTCAACAGAGCACTAGCTCTATCGATTTATAGGTCTAGTCGACTCTGGCTCTAGTGATCCAGCTTATTGTCTCTCATGATCCAGGCTAGATTCCCTTTTATAGCGAGCCAAGGTATTTAATACCGGATTAGAACGTTTAGTCATTTGGTTGGGTTGGGTAAGTAATCCTACCTATGAGTAATGGTTCACTATGTCCCCTATTACCGGAGTAGAATTTCCATATAAGCGATTGTGGCCGTTGGACTGGCTATTTGGCAATTATTAATTGCCAAACTGCATTCAGTCTGCATATCAGTCAAACTTACCAAACGATTTCCACCCTTCCCTTTGCTTACAGATTTTTTGCCCCTGTATGTGCGAATCTTTTAAGTCTTTCGATCACATAAAGATAACTGTTAAACACGTAACTGTTTTTAATAAAACTTTTTTCGCTAGCTTATCTTGACTAAAAGCCAAATGCATCGGTAACGCGAAGAACTTTAAAAAGGGGATCTGCGAGTGTGCAGAAGCGGTATAACTCCCACCGGCAAGCCTGCACTTAACACCCACACCCTCCCAATCCAAACTACACGTCGCGGCGGATAGAAAGTGGGCGGCTATGTGGCCGAGGTCAGTGCCATAGTGACTGGTAGAATTGCACCCTGACAGCGTGTCAGAAGGTATAAAATGCACATATGCAAGGAATATCGACGAGAAACTGACAGAGTAGTAGGGAAATCTGGTGCTCTCCGATCTCTATGGATTATAGCGTTACCAGTCCGGGGTTACCGGAGAATGGACAGTCCGGACAAGCCTAAGCAGTCAAGTAACCCGAACAGTGTGCAGATGAAGGCGATGTTTTCTAGAATGAGCTTTCAATGCAGCTAGAGCGGCTGAAGACATGGGGCCAACGCAGTTAATTAATGTAATATAGAAAGTGCTCTGAATAAAAGGCTATATAGGGCGACAATAGAACTACCAGAACTACCAGGTCTTACCTAGAACTACCCTGAGAGATCTGCAAAATTTATTCTTCAGCAGCTAACTCACCAGGTTTGGCCATTTCGACGACCGGTTCAGTAGCGTCCGGACCTTTGTGACCAAACAAGCTACTTGGCTGGGGTGGTAATAAGGCGGCTAAGCATTTCCATGACCTCCAAGCCGGCGCCTGACCCTTAAACAACTCCTAACCCTTCATACTACCCTTACCCTCTTACTTTTTAATAATTACCCCTTTCTCCTTTCTTCAATGTAAATACTCATTTTCTTTAAGGAGCTTGGTTGTTGGATTATTAAGAGAAAGGTGTCGTCAATAACACCCCAAACCATAACTTTTAAAGTAGTTATCTATCAGATGTTCTTCCAAAGGAAAATTCAAATGAATATGTTATTAGATGAACGTTTTAAATTTTTTGCTCTCAGATATGCTTGGGAATTGTTTTTTATCTAAGCCGATATTTTTAGATACAAATTGTTTTTAAAGCTTTCTTAATCATCATGATTTCATTTTAGGAGGAAATTAGTAACAAATTTTTAAACTTATAAATTTTGAATTTGTTTAACCACTATTTTGACATTTACTTTATTTAAAACTGTAATTTATATATTATTAAGACTATATATAATAGCTATATATAGGACTTTATAACCACTGTTAACGGTAGAGTCCCAGATATCTGTTGGAAAGAAGGTTCTTATTTCTGTTGATGTACGTTAAGGTTCCATTGACATTTTATGTCACTCTTAGTCTTTTGCTTTTAGAGCTATGAATTTGTTTTATATAGAACCTACTCCGGTTAAACGGTTGACGTTAAGTGTCACTGACAATTTTTTGTGACATTTAGATAGGTTAAGTTGCATTGCAGCGCTGTCAGCAGCGGAGCGGCATTATTATGTAAAACTTATATATATCTATGTAATTATGTTAAATTTATATGTATTTAAGAAGTATAAACGTGTAAAACGTGTTTAAGGTGCCCATGTATATATCAGCGGTTGGTCAACGTGGGAATGCTGACTCCGCGTTTAAGCCGTTCCGATGAGCTCATGTTCCCCGTGCACTTGAATATGCCTTTGTATGGAAATACTGCAACAGAGTGTCACTGTGTTATAAGGTATTTAATTACAGCTTATAGCTTAAAGTTAAAAATAAAAAAATCATCTCTCGCAATTTTGGCATCGTGATATTGTGGCACAGGGAGTAAGTACCACAAAGCAGCGTCCTTGGAGTCATCCTCTATACCGCAGACCTTCACACCATTCCCTCCAGGAATTTAACTATTGCCACATTCGCTGACGACACCACATTCCTTGCCACCGCCTCTGACCCCGAAGAAACCTTAACCAACTGGATGTAATAAATAATGTAATAAGTAATAACGCTGGAATATCCGAGTGAATAAGGGAGGGGTTATTAATGGAGGCTGACTACTTTTAGTTTCAAATGTGCCTTCTTGGATTCTATATGCTTGCACCAGATGAGCCGCCTATTTAAGTGGATTCCCAGATATGTTACCTCTTTAGCTTGCGGGATGCATGTGGTGTTCAGGACTATGGGCGGGCAGGTTCGTTTGTTAAGTGGGTAACAGCTTTGCTATTTTGTAAATGAGTCCGTCCAGCCAGACTCGATCGATTGCTTGTGTAACATCCAGAAGGGTTGCCGAGAAGTATTCGCGCTGTTCAAATGCAGTACGAATTTCTGAAGTGAACCGATTGACCTGTTCAATTGTTCCATGATTCTCCCTAAAGCCTAATTAATGTGATAGGATTTCATTACATGCAGGATAAATACTTTTTCAAACAGCCTTGTAAAATATGTCAGAAGACTTGTTGGTCTATATGACGATGGTTGCGTTTTGTCTGGAATGGACCTTTTCCACCTTTGAGGAATAGAAAGTTTGCAAATAATCAGTATTACACATAGTGGTAGCGCAATTATCATTTTATGGGTTATCAGGTCATTTTCTGGCGTATGACTTCAATAATTTCGTTTGACTTAAATCTAATTGGCTCCAAAGATGGATAGATGCCAGTTGACGAAAGAAGAATAAATCAGTTGGTAACTGGATTCGGCTAGAATACTTTTTTTAGGTGTTTAGCAAACGCACTGTCTCTTTCTTTATCGTTACGTGGCCAGTTTTCAATAGGGCCTGGCAGAGGTAAACCAGTTTTGGTTAGTACCCGAAGATTTTGGAGAGCTCTCAGTAGATGCTTAGTACTAGTGGGCGGCAGTTTTTCACTGTACCGAAATTGGGAATTTTCTTGCTCTACCTTTAAAGCTTTGGTAAGTCTGTGTGGCTATCTGTAAGCTGTTTCTGGTGTTTGGCGATCTGTGATGCTTTTCCTCTTTTTGTTATCGTAATTTTTCAAGCACCAGCTGTTCAATTTCCTGGTTGTTTCTGTTGTGGTTAGATAAAAGGTGGTGTTAAGGCCTTTTCAGCGTCAACTAGTGCTGAGTAAAATGTACTAGCCCATTTATTAATATCAGCATTAAGCAAATAATGGAATAGAAATTCCTCTAGACGGTTCTTATGTCGTGTCCTGGAAAAGGACTAGGGCCGAGGGAGAGGCATCCGTTGTTCAGGCAACAGGTTGCCAGCGTAAGCTCGTCGTATTGGTCGTGGGATCTTGGTAAGCCTCTCTTACCTCTTGCCCCCTTACCTCTTGGTAAGTCACCACTCCAACATAACGAGAATAAATATTTGAAGTGCCTGTAAAAATAATTACAGTTCGTCAATAAGTTCATAATAAGTTAGGAATAAGTTTAAATTAAGTTAAGAAAGTTCGTCAGTCAGCAGTCCTCACTGCCCCACAAGCTTAGTTATAAGCTTGATCGTAAACGATCCGTGTGTCAAGTGGAACGTCACTGGCCGCGCAATATGATCCCATTTTTGATCCCCATCATTTCTGACCTACCCCACCTCTCGCCACAGCCCCGCTTGTGAAAATGTTTACCTACTCATTTAGTTGTAGTTAATTTAATAGCATATCATTATTAATTAATATATTGCTGACTATTACCACGAGTAATATAAGAATTAACGGCTAGTATACAAATACTCTAAAAAGTTGACATAATTGTCAGCGCAGACAACAAACGTCACTCTGAGGGCTCTTGTCTTTGCATATCAAAAATATTGCCGCTGAGAAGTTATATTTGATTTCTATATTAAACATTAAACATCTAAATTTAATCCATGAGATATATTGCCTTGGACAATATATGTATATATAAAAGATATATAAAAAAACATACTGGAACTATGTTCTATGATATAAAGAACTGTGGGTCGTCAAACTTTCCCAACGTTAATTCTGAGGCGCGTTGGATCCTGGGTGTTGCTATGCTGATGGTATTATACATACAT